AGTAATTATATAATTATTACGGTAAGGAATTATAGATTTGTTAAGGTAAGTAATTAAAGAGTTCATACTGTGAGTAATTATAGAAATTGTGACCGGATATAATTGTAAATAGTTAAAGGGGTTTGCATCCATCGTTCAATAGGAAAAAATAAGTTTCCTACAGACAATATTTTATGGGCTCTACATTTTTTGAAATTAAAAAAAAAAAAACTTAAGGCACCGAAAACGAATATATATAACATGACCACTTCACTTTTCCTACAATATAACTATTATAAAACCTATAGTCACATACAATCCAACGTCATTGATTGCAGAATTTTTTTTTTCTTTCCAAACTTCAATAATTAACGATTTTTCTGGGCATTCGAAACATTTTGGCTTTCCATCTGCTTATTTTTATTAATTCGAATGGTTTCCGTTTTGTTCGAACATCAAAAAATACAAAAGCACAAAATTATGGCACGTAACACATCATTTTATAACAAAATAATATCAGAGACAAAATATCTTACTTTGGATAATAACCGCTCCAATATTTTTGACAGTTCTTACAATACTATTTTTCAAAGTTTTGGAAATATGGATATTTCTTACATGACTTGTACTTCCCGTTATATTTGCTTTTAATCGTTTTTATGGTTCTATAAGTAATGTATAGTTGTAACCTGACATATAAATAAAAAATATATAAGGAAAAAACCAATAACCAATATATATATGGTAAAACATTAATCTATTCTGAAAATGTACCTTGCTACAATTTTTAATATCACTTATACACTTTCTTTTGGTTTTTTTTTTTGAGAAAATCATTCTAAAAAAAATAGGAGGGGACAACTAAGTCAACCTCAGTCTACTTTCTACCTGCTCAAACCAAAGCCTAAAACATTAATAAAATACAACATATATTCAGGGAACATACTAAAATAAGTGCTATATGAGTTAAAAGGTATATACCACGCCTTTTTTTTTAAATTCAATGATTTCTTGTATGTTGGAATTCAAAATAATCCTTATCATATATTTTGTATTCATTATTTCTATTTTACCTATATAATTATGAAAACAAAAGAGAGGGAGAAACATTAAATAAATAGAAAATAACAGAATTAAGAAACGAAACATAACCAAACAAATTTATAAAATAAGAATCAAATATATAAAAAAAATACCCGTGAAACCCTTTATCTTTGCAAGTTGGACTATTATAACGTTTTGAGAAGACTGATTATTTACCAAGAAGGATAGGATTTCATCAACATAATGCTCTCACAACGTGCACTCAAGCTTGTGACCCTTGTTTTCGCAGTGATTGTAAGAAATAATCTTATGTATTAAAACGACATTTAAATAAATAAGCATTATGTATTACATATCAATATAGCAAAAATACCTCAGGTTGTCAAGCTCTAACACAACCATTTTTGTTTTCCTACCGAAGGCAACATGCTCGTGAACTTCCCAATTCCAATAACGTCTACAGAAAATGAAGTTGGAGTTATGATAATATTATCAACACAATAATATCCAAAAAAAAAAAAAATCAAAAAAAAATATTATCAACACAATAAAGATATTTTTAATGTAAAAAAAAATACACATTACCTACTAAATATGGAGAGTTAGGTTCTTCGTTCTCAATAATGCTGAACTATTGAAATTGAAACTATTGAGACAATAATCATGCCTAGTTCTTCGTTCTCTTTCACTAATTTTTTTTTCTGGACTTGTAAAGAACATTTGACAGTAGCATGAATTTTTTCACTCTACAAAACGCACACATACAGTAGTTAAAAAAACCAAAAACATATCACAACAGAGTTGCAAATGGTAAGGAAAAACTATTACATGTTCATCTAAAAGAATCATCTCCACATTGTCGTCAAAACCTTTATGCTAAAAACTAGGAACCTTCCAAGTCCTAACCACCATAACCTTAATCCTCCATTCCTCCTTAGACAGATTAAGATCCTTTATAAAATCATATTTGAAGTACATAACTAACGACTAAGAAGAATAACTTTAGAAAATGAAGAAGAAAAACAGACATAGAAGGAGTCAAATACGTGAATACTGAATAGGAACTGGTTACCAAAGAACATTACCCATTTACACGTATGCTATTTATACAAAAATAATTTCATTTTTTAAAAGAAAATTTTTGCATATTTAAAAAATTAAATATTCCTTAAAGCTTCCAATATTCTTTTAAGCTTCCAAGAGGGTCTAATAATACTAATTAAAAAAGGTTTGACGATTACCAATGAAAGAAATTACTGGGATTTTAATTCAGTTGTTTGCCACTAAACTATTTTTCCACTCTGAAGTTTAAATATTGAATTTGAAAAGTTACTAAATTGAGAAAACATTTCAAATGGTTAAGGTGTGAACACAAATTTGAGATTGAAGAAGAGTGTGATACGTCATCATTTTCATAAAATGGTTTTCCTTTAGGACATATTAGATTAGATGTAGGTATATCTTTATTTAATAGAAAAAGTTTTTGATATTTAATGAGAAAAATACAAAAAAAAAAAAGATTTAAATAACAAAAAAAAAATTGTTTGGGGAAAAAAACGTACCACATTAAAAAATGGGATAGGATATTGTAACAACCAATTAGTGTTACTACCAATATTATTACCAATCAATTTCACCGTTAGATCGATTATATTGATCGAACGGTTATATTTATTTCTATCTTTGTACGGTTATGATTTCTCATATTTAATGCATTAAATATGAGAAATCATAACCATACAAAGGTGAAAATAAATATAAAATATTAAATATGGGGAATCATAACCGTACAAAGATGAAAATAAATATAACCGTTGGATCAATATAATCGATCTAACGGTGAAATTGATTGGTAGTAACATTAATTAGTTATTACAATATCCTTTCCCTTTTAGATCGATTACTACCAATCAATTTCACCGTTAGATCGATTATATTGATCCAACGGTTATATTTATTTCCATCTTTGTACGGTTATGAGAAATCATAACCATATAAAGGTGGAAATAAATATAAAATATTAAATATAGAGAATCATAACCATACAAAGATGAAAATAAATATAACCATTGAATCAAATAATTGATTTAACGGTAAAATTAATTGGTAATAATATTGGTAGTAACATTAATGAGTTGTTACAATAACCTCTCCTTAAAAAAATTTGCCCAAAAAGTTTTTTATATTTAATGAGAAAAATATAAAACAAAAAAATTTAAATAAAAAAATAGTTTTTTTATTTGGGAAAAAATGTACCATATTAAAAAATTTTCTCCATTATATATACACACAGACAACTTTATTTGACTCTCGTGGTTGTACACTGGGAACTGAAGGAGGACAGAGGCTAAAAAGATTGAAGCATTGCAGAAGAAAGATAAAGGTGATGACTTCATTATTTCACATATAAAAATTTGAATAATCTTCTCTGCTATAGATTAGTTATCATTTTAGTTGCGTAAAAAGTGAAAGCACAAAGCATAGGAAGAAGAAAAGAAAAAAAAAAAGGAAAATTCAATTTTTTTTCGTTCTCTGTCTCTCTCTAAAACTTGCCTTTTGGTTTATTCCTCAATTTTCTCTCTCTTCATGTTGTATCGTCTGTCAGGTATTAATGGGGGCTGCAGATTTCAAAAGGTTGCAACTTGGGTTGTGGCTTTTCCAAACGCAGTTGTCCTATTTGTAGCAAAATAGTTGTTGGGATGGGACCAAATTGACCCATCATGCACCTCTTTTTGGTTTTTCAGTATAACCATCAATGTCATTTATGATTTGTGAGTTCTACAGTTGAATTTTTCATCCATATGCTAGGGCTTTTTCTTTAAACTTTTTTTTGTTTCATTTTTTTTTATTTTCTATTTTGTTTATTTTTATCCGGAAACAGTCTCTTTGCAATTATTTGCAAGGATAAGACTGCCCACACAGATTGTTCGTACCCCACATTCGCTAGTGGAATTTAATTGTGGAGTATTTTTTATTTTGATTATTTTTATCTGTCTTTATCAGGTTAACTAGTGCAGTAACCGTGCGATGCACGGACGAAAAGATCAAACTATTTTTTTAAAAAAAAATATTTATTGTTTTATTTTTAAATTTTTGAAAATATTAGTCTTCTACTGTCACACTCAGAATTAGGTTTTACTTGACTGTGAATGTGATAAGTTAGGTGTATTGAAAGAAATCCTTTCTATGATGCTTGCTTGAAATTCTGTGACCTTATTCATCCAATGTTTGAAAGTGAAGATTAGTTGCTAATTAATTTTAGCCCTCGTAAAAACATTTTTATACACTTGCTTGATTGAATCTACAATTGAGTAAGTCATTTGATTTTAATGAGGTTGGTTTTCTTGACTTTATCTGGTTGTTAGATCAAAACGGTTGGGAATATGAATATTTGTTGAATTTTATGTCTGAGTAAAAGATGATTTTTTTTTTTTTTAACTACGAATCTGGGAAAAAGACTTTGAACTCATTGGTTAATCACTATATATATTCTTCACCCTTTTTACTTTTATGAGATTTTAACCGTAGGAGTCTTAGTGGTGTTTAGATTTTTCTTGTCTTCTTGGTCAAAGGCTTTGAACTCTGGTTTATGAATGTTACATGTCATGGATAGAAAGCTGAATGTGTTCGGTGAAAACAAGCTTTACAGTACTTACACTTGTGGGGGAAAATTTTGTGGGCATGTGCTGTTAAAACTGTTCTTATCAATAGGGCTATGGTAAATTGAAGTTAGTTTTTTTATTGAATGAGAAATAGCAAATTGAATGCTCTCGTTATCCCTTATGGTCTTAATTTTTGTCTTTGTTTCTTTCTGAAAGGTCTCTTTCTTATATTAGAAATTTTAGCCCGGTAATTACTATTCCTTTGACTGGCCTTTCTAAATTTTCACTTCCCTTGAAAGGCCATGTATTGCATCTCTGATTTTATGGTTGTCAGGCTCAGATATTTCTCATGTTTTAACTGAACTTTATTTACTTTTCATTTATCTGTAGGTCAGAAATTCACAAGTGACTAGAATTTTGAATTCTGAAGCAAATCCACCATTGAAATTTCTCAGACCTCATAGATTTTGCTGGGATTTCATTGGTATTGAACTCTGTTCAGCTTACTGCCATTTTCTGCCTCTGCTGGCTCTACCTCAGGCGGGAGATAGTCCAACACATATGCTCCCCTAATTTTTCGCATGCAGTTAATACTATGGTATTCACCATAGAAATAATCTAGATCCATCATTCCCATAAAATAAGCTAGAGACTGTGTGCAATTTAAGATGGCCTTAACCTAGATTTAGAGCAGTTAGGTCTCTCCCTCTAATAAAACTCTGTAGTTAGTTCAGACAAAACTAGATGACTGTGGATGAAGTGGTTAGTAGCTCTGAATGGAGCAGAGAGCAGGATAAAGCATTTGAAAATGCTTTGGCAATTCATCCAGAGGATGCTTCAGATCGATGGGAGAAGATTGCGGCTGATGTACCTGGGAAGACTGTAGAAGAAATTAAACAGCATTATGAGCTCTTAGTTTATGATATTAACCAGATCGAATCTGGTTGTGTACCTCTACCATCTTATAACTCTTCTTCAGAGGGCACAACAAGCCAGGCTAGTGATGAAGGAATTGGCAAGAAGGGGGCCCATCTTGGGCAGCATAACAGTGAGTCTAATCATGGAACTAAGGCTTCAAGATCAGATCAGGAACGACGGAAGGGTATTGCTTGGACAGAGGAGGAACACAGGCATGTTTATTATTGCTTATGTATTTTTGAAAAACCTATATATTCAGTATAGGTTACTTTTAATTCGCTATTCTTTTGTCTCTAGTTTATGATGTTTATAAACATGCTTTTGAGGTTTGCTGGGTCTAGTTGTGTTCTCTATTTCCTTTCCTATGCAATCTGATCATCATGGTATATTCAAAGTCACAGTTTGCTTATGTACCTTAATTCTTTTGACTGCTTTGTGTAAACCTCAATTATTTTGACATTTATCTGTACTAACTAATGCCTACTTTTGATGATTCTTTGACTAAACCATGGCATGGCATCTGGTACTCCTTAAAAAGGTTTCAGCATTGCATTACGGTTTTAGGTGAGGGATGAAGTGGTAAAAAAAACAGAGGGGAATAGAGAGGGATCTCAATGTTGAACTGGGTTTTAATCCAGTTCTGCACTCTGCTAGTTCCATCTCAACAGGCATTGTGATTATTAACTATTATTATAGTAATTTCCTCTGCTATAGTATCATATTTTCTCATATGATCTATATGTATAATATGTATTGTTTTGATGGAATACTTCTTTGACAGGTCATTTGCAAGATTTGTATCAAAGCAATCATTTAGAGTGAATATGCCTCTTAAATGTGTCCGTTGTGTTCATCAAAGGTGTGTGTTAAGTCAATAGCCAGGGTAGCATAGTATGATTAATAAGCTTTTCCCCTTTAAATTCATTTTTAGAGGATAGAGCTGAGAAAGTAGTAGCCTCGTTCAGAACTTGTCAAATTGATCAGCAATTATGATACTTTTAGGGTTATTACCGATAAACCACTGATGTTGTGTTTAACTAATTATTGAGGTCAGTGGAAATGGGATTTGTATCAATTTTTAGTTAATGAAATAAATCATATTATTGTAAATTGAGAGAGAAAAAGAGGGGGGGGGGGGGGGGATTACTTGATATGACATAACTATTCAGAAGCATGGCACATCATTAAATGTCCAAAGTCATGCATTATTTGCAGTGAATGCTTTTGTTGACCACTGTATAGGACCATGCTATGAATTTTTGCTAGTTTTAAAATCTCTTTCACGTGTCCTTTATTGCCCCCTTCTCTCTCTCTCTCCTGCATGTAGTGGAAGATAATATTTTGGTTCAGTAAAGATACAGAGTTTCTCAGTTTGGCCCTTACACTTCTTATTTCTCAATTCAATCGTCTTCCATTTTGATTTGTTTCAGCTTAGGATCACTGTACACTCTAAATACTTTTCAACATTGTGGAGAGACCAAATTGAGAACACATATGAAAGGACGGTTCAATCTATGAAATTAATAGTGGAGGGGCCAAATAGAGAGTTGTCTAGGGATGCAATTGTTACTCTCTGTTTTCCATTATGTCCTCTGTTCTGCATTAAAGCCTATAATTACCATGGCCAAACAAGGAGATAGAGAGGACAGTATTTAAATAGGGCGAGTCTTGAGTAGTTGAGAGTTTCCAGCCTTCCAATTTCCAACTATGTTATTATTTTCTTTTCTATTCTATTAGTTTTCTTTACCAAGATAGAGAAACTAAACTGTCTTTGAAAGAGGGAGAGGAGTTTAGTTATTTTAATCTCAATTGCAACATCTTTGAAGACATGACATCTATGAAAGTGCAAACTTATGATAGGGATTTGAGGATGTGTTACGGAAGTTGTTCTTTACCGCCTCACTGATTTATATTATTTCATTCTAATTTCCTGCTTGACTTTGATGTACTGCTTTCTTCAATTCTATACTTATCCTCATTGGATGACATGAGTCATCTATTTGGGTGATGTCAATTTGTCATGCTTATAACAGTTTTAGCTGTTTGATCCGAGCTTCAAGAAATTACAGTTTCAAGTTTGCTGTAGAAGATGCGAGTCAGGCAAGAAGCTTACATGTTACACCTTTTGTGGACATGCTCCTATAATCTTCAATTTAACAATTGTGGACTAGACTCTGAAGATTAACCTTATATTCCTATGAACAGCTGATTAACTTAATTTGGAGTCTGAGGGTATGGGATCTTAAAACTGCAAAACAATTTAACACTTATATCCTTGTCTTGTCAATCCACAAATGTGAATAATATCCTGCATCCTGGGACGGTGGTGAGCAGTATATGCAGATTAAGGTTCTGTAGAGGAGGGGGGAAGATAGCTTAAGACTCATAGTTTTTCTATGGTTGACAGATTTATTATATTGAGATTTTACTTGATTTTGTTAATGTTGGGTGGAACCATTTATAGCACCTCTTCGTAGTTTCAAGTTATGTTTGTAATGATGGTTTTGAGATGCGTTCTAGAAAGAATAGATTGACAGTGAGAGGAAACATTTATATGGCCTGTTAATCCTGAATTAAATTGCGCAGAGTTTTGGACTTCTCTGAAGTTGAAAAAAATTAAGCAGACAACAATATTACAATATGGTCCTTTGAGTCTTGCCTGAGCCAATAAATTTTAAACAAAAAGGAAATTGACCCACCTATATGGTTACTTCTTCCGTTGCTAACCTGCCATCTGAGGCATGATGCAAGTCTTTGTAGTCAATGCCACTAGGGGTGTAAATGGGTCAGGTTAGGCCAGACTTTGGCTTTGATAGACTAATCCTATCTAAAATATTTAGAGCCTATATTGGCTATTAGTCTATTAAAGGCTTGATTTATAGATCCGACGTGGCCTATTATAAAAATCTAAAAATCCTAACACGGCCTATAAGGCCTAACAAGTTGCAAACTAAAGTCGCAAACCAAATTGAAATAGAATAAATAAAATTTCCTATTCACAAAGATCACATGAAATAATATTTTCATTAACAACACATGAAATAATGTTCATAAAGATCACATGAAAATATTCATAAAGATCACATGAAAATATTCATATATGTATATATACATATAATTTGCATTTTCTTTACTAATTTAATTTAATATTATGTTTTAAATTTTAAATAAATATTTATTATTTGTTAAAATGACGTCAATCATTATTTTGAAAATTAGTGTTACAAATCACGATCTCAGAAATAATTACTTGTCTATCTGTTTGATTTTGACACTGTCTCTGCTCCATGATGGGAGTAATTACACAATGTTGGTGGAAGATTTAAAAGTTTCATAAGATCCATAATGTTAATACTAATTTGAAGTAACTGCATATTCTTTCTTGATCAAAATTCCAAATTACTTGAGGAGAGCTTATATGAGATTAGAAACGACATTTATGTTTGTTATAATTTTATGGATTAGATGGAATAGGGAAAACAGAGATAGAGAAGAGACTCAAGAAAATATTTTTACTAATGAGTCCGAGTAATTGTGAAAATGACTGACACTTAAACTTATATTAAAACTATGATTATGAAAAGACAACTGTGCTTTACTTTTGGTGTCCTAAAAGTAATTACTAACTTATCTCAGAAGAAACATAATAACAAAATAAATTTCTCAACAATGCGCGAGAGTGATACCCGCTTTGCTCTTAGCAACTTCCATACCAAGGAAATATTTAAGAGTTTCAAGGTCCTTTAGTTCAAACTGAGCTGTTAGATACTCCTTTAAGTAGTTCAATTCCTCATTATCATCACCTGTAAGAACTATATCATCCACGTACACAATAAGAATAGCAATTTTACCATCTTTAGAGTGTTCGTGGAAGAGAGTATGATCAGTCTGTGCTTGAATGAAGCCTCTTCCTTTAACAACTTATGTGAATTTGTTGAACCATTCTCTAGGAGACTGTTTCAACCTATAGAAAGCCTCTTTTAGTTTATACATTGATCCATCTCCCTTTTTAAAGCCAGGTGGAGGATCCATATAGATCTCTTCATGTAAATCACCATTTAGGAATATATTTTTCACATCTAACTGTTGCAGAGGCCAATCTAGGTTGGCAGCAAGTGATAAGAGAACTCGGATGGTATAGACCTTAGCAACTAGAGCAAAAGTCTCATGGTAATCTATCCCATGAGTCTGAGTGAACCCTTCGCAACCAATCTTGCCTTGTATCTGTTGATGCTATTATCTGCATTGAATTTTATTGTAAACACCCATTTGCATCCTACTGCATGTTTTTCCTTTGGTAGGGTCACTATCTCCCAAGTTCCATTTCTTTCTAGAGCATTCATTTCTTCGAAGACAACATCCCTCCATTTTGGATCATTGAGAGCCTCATGTATATTTCTCGGTATCGTTGTATTGTCCAACATAGTATTGAAAGCACAGAACCTTGGGGATAACATTACATATGAAATATAATTAGAAATAGGATGAGTAGTACAAAATTAAGTACCTTTTCTAAGAGCAATAGACAAGTGTAGATCATTTTTGTCATGACACTCAAGTGTCGGGGTGTTGGAACTAGAACTTGGTTTAAAATCCTGGCAGTGTAGAGGCTCTGGGTTATTCACACTTTGAGGATGTTTTCGCCTGTTATAAACTTAGAGGTTCCTCCTATCTCTGATGGTGAAGGTTCTGTAGCTCCCCCTGTTTCCAATAGTAGAGGTAATACTGTGTCATTAGTAAATTCCCATGATTGATCTTTATCTGCTCCTAAAGACTCCCCCTGAAAAGAAGTCAGGGGAAAGAAAGGTCGAGTCTCATAAAAGGTTACATCCATAGAGACAAAGACCTTACAAAGAGAGGGTGAATAACATTTATAGCCACGTTGAGTAGGAGAATAACCAATGAAGACACACCAGAGAGATTGAGGATCAAGCTTGGACCATTGATGAGAGGGAATATGGACAAATACTACACAACCAAACAACTTGGGAGGTAGGGAGGAGATGCCTCAGAAGAAAGGGAAGGTCCGATAAAGACTAGAAAGAAGAGACTGAAAGTTAAGAGTGCGAGATGGCATTCGATTGATAAGGTATGAGGCAGTGAAAACGGCTTCCCCCCAAAGGTAGTTTGGGATACTCATAGTGAACATAAGAGCCCGAGCAACTTCAAGAAGATTTCGGTTTTCTCTTTCAGCGACTCAGTTTTGTTGGGGTGTGTCAGGACACGAGCTTTGGTGAAGGCTGCCATGTTGGGAGAGATATTCTCCAAGAATAGAGTTAAAATACTCTTTGCCATTGTTTGTACGAAGAATTTGTATAGCAACTTGGAATTGGGTTTGAACCATGACATGAATTTTTTTGAAAATGGATACAACATCTGACTTGTCCTTTAGAAGTATACCCAACAAACCAGGGAGTGATCATCAATGAAGGTAATGAACCATTGAGCACCTTAAATATTCTTTACACAGGCTGGACCCAATATGTCACTATGAATTAAAGAAAATAGGGAAGAATCATGGTGAGCTCTAGAAGGATAATGAACATGAGTATGCTTGGCAAGTTGACAAATATCACAGGAAAACAAACTAGGACTTTTATTAATAAATAAGTTTTGTAATAATTTCTGAAGATGGGTAAAATTTGGATGGCCTAGCCTACGGTGTCACGACATAACATCATTACATGAATCAAAAGGAAACATAGAGTCATTTTCCACAAAAGCACCTTCATGAGTCACACCCCCATCAAAGTAGTAAAGTCCGCCATCCTCTCTAACACTGCCAATCATCATCTCCGAGTCCTGTTCCTGAAAAACACAACCATGTGGAAAGAATTTAGCAAAACAACATAACTCAGAAGTCAACTTGCTAATGGAAATGAGATTGCAAGCCAGAGAAGGAACATGAAGAACTGATGTTAAATTAATCTGCTTGGAAAGTTTAACAGTTCCGTGTCCTGCAATCTGGGAGAAACTATCATCGGCAATCTTGACCTGAGAGGGTTGAGAGCGTGGAGTGTAAGAGAAAAACAAAGTCAGATTACTTGTCATATGGTCAGAGGCTCCAATATCAAGGATCCAACGAGTTTGACTATCAACATGGAAACAGCTGTACCTAGTTGGGCCAAGTTGCTAATGGCCTTAGTAGGTTGAGTCAGAAGCCTTCGAAGTTGCTCGAATTGAGTTTGCTGAGAAACACACCATCGGAGTCAGATGAGGAAGTGGAAGAATGATCCAAAGAAGCCATGAATGAAGAGAGGGTAGAACAAATTCGATGAACAGTGATTCTTGCGATGAACAGTAATTCCGGCGATGTTTGGCTGGGACAAAACTAGAAATTTTTTTTTGGATAGTTTTATGATACGAGAACAATGTTCTCAGCCTTGAGGATGGCTGATCTAGGGATGGAACAATCCCGCTTTTAATACCATATTGAAAGATCTAAAAAAGAGTTTTTTGTATTGATACAATTGATTTCCACTAATAGTATAAGGGATAAATGTAATAATAGTATATGGTTGTTATAGAAAGAGAAAAGGAAGAGAGTCAGTTAGTTCTAGAATATTCATAGGGGATAAGATAAAATGTTGTGCATGTATTGAGTGAATATTGGGGATTTGGGGATCTCTTAGAGCCTAGGGTAGTTGGTTCTAAGGGTGAGTTGGGATCTTTTGATGTCTTGTTCTTGTATTAGTGTTTGTAAAAAGAGGCTATGTCTCCATTGATTCAATATATTCAGTGTTACTAAATTAGGTTCCATCATGTATCTTGGGATAGTTGGTTTTTGACATGATATCAGAGCTTCAATGACCAAGTGTTCTAGAGTTTGATCCTTGCCGTCCTTATTTTTCTAATAAAAAAGTTGAATTTCATTCAAGGTAGGTGGTTTGTGCATGAGGGTGTGTTAGAGATATAATTTTTCTAATACTTGGGCTCCATTTTGCAAAAAGGTGGAGAGATTGATGAGGATGTAAATCATAGAATCAGAGCAGGGTGGATGAAATGGCGGAGTGCATCTGGGTTTTTGTGTGACCGCAAAATCCCCCTTAAGTTAAAAGAAAAATTCTATAAAACAACAGTAAGACCTGCAATGCTATATAGAGCTGAATGCTGGCCAACACATAGGCAACATGAGCATAAAATGGGAGTAGCAGAGATGAAGATGTTAAGGTGGATGTGTGGTTACACGAGGATGGATAAGATAAGAAATGAAGATATTCGACGAAAGGTAGGAGTACTACCAGTGGCTGAGAAGATGAGAGAACATAGATTGAGGTGGTTTGGGCACGTAATGAGAAGGCCCCTGGATGCTCCCGTAAGAACAGAAGTTTGTTACCAAGAGCTCAACACAATAAGAGGTAGAAGTACAGGTAGACTAAAACTTACTTGGAGGAAGGTAGTAAAACAAGATTTAATGGAGTGAGATATAGATTGGCGGACGGTATGCCTTAGAACGGAATGGAGAAAAGCTATAAGCATGGTGTAGGGTTATACCCGTTGTTATTCCTATGTTCCAGATGGTCCATTTTTAGTCCATTTCCCCTTCATTTCCCCCTCTTCTTCTTTTCCCTTTCTTGTTTACTTTTATTTTATATTTATATATATATATATATATATATATTATTACTATTCTATTTATTTATTTTTATTTTTACTTTTATGTTTCTCTTTTTCAACCTTTTTCTATATTTCATTTGGATTCATCTACCACCGACCTCAATTAATTTGGGATAAAGGTGTTGTTGATGTTAATGTTAAAAAGAAATTCTATTCTTAAACAATTTTGTCGTTGGTTGAATTCAAACTTAGGATACTATATCTCTCTCTAGAATACAGTAGTTTAAGTTTAAGTGATCTGCTTCCATTACATTTGTGGTTGTTAAAATTTCTGTAATGAGTTTGATAGTTATTAGTTCTAATTTGGGGTTAATTTGTTTATGCTACATTGCTACTTGTCAAGAAATGCCATATCTGCCGTAGTATTTGAGCATATTGGCAGTAGCTGAATTGCAAATCTGATTCCTGCCATTTGTTTGCTTTCTTTGTGGCCATGATTTATTTTTGCTATTCACAATTTCTTGAGTTCTTTAAGGTTCTTTGACATATAAAAATGATTGAACAAGGATTCCAGAGTTAAGATTTGTTCCTTGGTTTCTTCTGACACTTTTGGGGTCAAAACTATGACACCTAGGTCTCCATTCTTTTGTTGGATTTCAGTATCAAATTTTTCTAATGTATGGACTGTTACAATCCAAGTTTGGCAAGCAACGGTATATATATTAGGGATTACTTAGATTTCATGCAAGCCAAAATGCTAAAGTTTTGGACTCCTATTTTTATTTAGTGTTGTAACTAAGTCCTTTATGTTATCTTTCTTGTGCTCATTAAATTGCTAACAAGGATGCCATCATTCTTTTGCTCATTAAATTGCTAGCAAAGTTGCACCCTCTGAAAAAAAATAAGTAGTTACTCTTTCATCTCTCTTTGCTAATATCCATGTATTAATTAATTTATTTTATTACAATTTATTACTTAAAATTTTGCCCACGTTAGCGTTCAAAGTACATAATAACAACTTATTACTTAAACTTCTCCCCACACTAACAATGTTTTGGTAAGCAATAAGACTTGCTTGATCAAATTGAATGAGTGGTCTCCAAGGCTATCACCTTGCCTTTATATGAAAATATAGAACCACAATTTGGGTGAGTTGCAATGCAATTCAATGAGCAAATAATGAGAACTATAACAAGCAGGACTTAGCAGCAATTATAAATATATTTAAACCAAACTGTAAGGTTGATAAATCTCTCTACTATAAATTCATGTATTTATAGACATTCTTCCTTTAGACAAGGAGACATTGATAGTACCATCACTTTTGGATGACTTTTCTTTATTATTGCTTTTACAACTAAACCTTTTGGTATTTTTCAATGATATTTCTTTATTATTATTTCTACAGCTAATCACCTTGTCACCACCATTCGGTATTTTTCAATAATGTTGCTTCATTATTATTTTCACAACTAATCACCTTATCATCATCATCTCGTGTTTTTCAATAGTATATCCGGTCATACATTTGCGTAATTAAAAGACAATCAATTATTTGATAATATTATCAACTTGATTTCTACTCACCACAACTATTTTTTTCTATCTTTATTTTCTTTTCTAATATTTTTTTTGGATGTTATATTACTGTTGATTCTTTATCACAATTCAATGATAAATTTTGATCGCTGTCAAATTGACACCTGACATATCATTCATATCATTCCTCTTGCCCCTTTTGGAATAAATCACATGTCAAATTTCTGTACTGCCAAAAACTCTGGTCTCTCATCCTAAATTGGTTTGACACTAAACAGGGAATGAGCTGCTGACTACGTTTTTTTTTTCCTGCCAAAACTCTGTAAATTTCATCTGACGTTACCTTGAAAATGAAAAGAAAGAAAGAAATGTGAAGTTGAAGTTAGTAGATGTTCTAGGGGTTACTTAGATTTTGATGGTAAATTCCATGGTGAAGCTAGAGATTAAGCCTGGAGTATACATATTGTACTATCATTGTTGCATGGTGTTTTCTTCTGAAAACAGAGCACTTGTACTGGTGCTATGCATTTCCAATGATTTCAAGTTTACAACAGGATATTTGTAACGTTTATCAAGTGAGAGCTTAAACAATCAGCTTACCTCTACCTCTCATAATTTTCAAAATTAAATTGCTAATTTTAATACATGCATAAAGGCTAAAAGCTACATCGAATTCCTTAAGTTAAAATCTGAGGATCAGTGATTGCATCAGCGTGTTGTTTTTGCAATTTTATGGATACTGTTTCTCCATATGCTAAGTTTTCTTTTTTGTTTTAAAATTTCAAATTGATTGAACACAGGTTATTCCTTCAGGGCTTGGATAAGTATGGAAAAGGTGACTGGCGAAGTATATCAAGGAACTTTGTGGTGTCAAGAACACCTACACAAGTAGCGAGTCATGCTCAAAAATACTTCATTCGTTTGAACTCGATGAATAGAGATAGAAGGCGATCCAGCATACATGATATAACCAGTGTTAACAATGGAGAGATTTCAGCACCACAAGGACCAATAACTGGTCAAACAAATGGTTCTGCTGGAAATTCTACCAGCAAATCTCCCAAACAAGCCCCTCCAGTTTCATCTGGGGTACCAGGTGTAGGAATATATACTGCTCCTACCATTGGACAACCTATAGGAGGACCCCTAGTATCTGCTGTTGGCACCCCAGTGAATCTTCCTGTCCCTGCACACATGGCATATGGTGTTCGAGCCCCAGTTCCGGGTTCAGTTGTACCTGGTGCACCAATGAACATGGGCCCTATGACCTACCCTATGCCACATACATATGCTCCTCTCAGGTGAAATGCTTTTTAGAAGCCTTATGTACAAAAAAGAAACAGCATACTAGATGGCTTCTGCAATTAGTGTTATTCTTTACCTAGAGACAATTTGCTTTTTGCTTATATGCAAGCATGAGATATATGCTTAAAATCAGTCATTTCAAATAAGCCATACCAGGAAGCAATTGGATGTATCTGTATAGGCTGCCTGGAATATATGTTTGACAGTCTTGACATAGGACAGCATGAAAGTACGGTTGTTTTGTAGACATTAAAATTTTAGTCTTAAACCGTGCTGCAGAGGAAGGTTCTGTGGATTTAAAAGTGTAAATTATTGGTGCTCTCTCTTGGTTTTTATTGGGAATAAACTGCTCTTCTACCTAAATTTTACTTTGGTGAGTTACTACCATTGACATGAATAAGAGGGTCGTGTTTGTTGAAGTTTTTGATACGAATTTTTACTCATGTGGAGTGTAGTGTTTGTGTTAGATTTATGGGAAATCTACTTCTCCTTTCCCTATAGAAATTTTTTTCTCCAAAAATCGATTTTAACTATGTACTATGAGTAGTACATAGTTATAATGAGAAACTTGTATTTTCTTTGTCCAGCTGATAATGTTTGAGAAGAGAGAAAAAAAAAACAGTTTTATTATTGTAATTATGTATTATCTGTAATACATAGTTGTAATTGTTTGTTATAGAAAATTTTCTTTGGAGAGAAAAAGCACCCTAGATTTATATGTTGAAGCTTTTCATATGAATCTTTACTTCGAGGAGTGCAGTGTTCATGTTAGATTTTGATCCAACATGAATAACTTTCAACACGAATTGCCATCTCTAATTTTAATCACCTCAATTTTCTTTGATAGTTTTATTAATGAATGTTAAAGGATGCTGATTATGGGCCTTTTAGTATTTGGGTTTAATATTTTTAATTACCTACCTACACAAGAAGGTAATACATGTTTATTACTTTCTCAGTATATAAAAAATATATTTTTATTTAATAAATTCTATTTTTTATTCCTTAATGTTTTAAGGATATTCGATAACAAATTCGTTTGATAATACACTAAATTAGAATTAGGAAAAAGATTAGGATTAATGGTAAAACAACTTGAAAATGGGTTAAATTAAGCCACGTTTTTTTAATGAAAAAAACTAAAAAACATAAGATAAAGAAAGCAAACACAAATAGAATGAACTTAGAAATAAAGGGTATGTTTCGTTATGTTCTAGTTTTTTTTTCTTCTTAAAACTGTATTGTATAATAGTTAATGAAATAAGTGTTTTCTATCTTTTTTTTATTTTAAAATTTAAAAGTCAAAACACAAAACAAAAATAATTAAAACATGTTTTTTAAATTTGATTCCTAAAATTAAAGAACAATTATAATTTTTAGAATTATTTTTATAAAACAGATTTTATCAAATAGGTTTTTCTTTTCTATATAAAAATAAAAAAAAGTATTTTTAAAAACAGCATTCAAACATGCCTTGATTCCCTTTTCTTGTTCAAACAATAATGAAAATAAATATGTAATTGAGAATAGATCCATTATATTTATCATCAAAATCTATGTACCGTCTTTTACTGTTATTTCTGCTACCATCAATGTAACACTCCGTTCTAGAATTGATTTGTTATCATCGCTTTATGATACTAAGCGCAGTTACAATCATATTGGTTCAATTAAAAATCCGGATAAATTTTTCTTTTCAAAACTTACTTATTTTCCTTTCGAACAACACCGAATTCAAAATAACCAATTGTGTGACCATAACTGTACGATATTGCGGAATAAATGAAACTAAGCTTAACATCATATTCTGATTTTGTTCAAGTTCAATACTAAACTATCTTTAGTTTTTATTAAATTCGAAATTCTCTAATTCATTTATGGTTCTAATCTCTTACTATGTTATAGATCTCTCTGTTAGCTTCGCGTGGGTTCAAATCGCGCTCAATTCGTAGCTCTGTAGCTCGAGTTATGCCAATTTTACCAAACTATGTTCATGCTGTTTACGGGAAGCGCGCTTGAGCGCTATACTGGGCGCTTGAGCTCCCAAAGGCAGAGAATTTGGCCATCTCCAGGTCTTCAACAAGCTTGAACGCCCAAAGGCAGAGATTTTTCCTCTATTTCACGCACACAGCGTGCTTGAGCGCTCTAATCAGCGCTTGAGCGCGCTCCGGCTGGGGCAGACTTGATCTCCCTTGTTTTTGGTGGTTCACTTGAAGGAGTTCCTTCTTCCTTTTTCCAACTTATTGGAACCTAATTGATGAGGGATTTCCAACCATGCTCACACACCATGAGGCTCTCACATTCCACATACATTTCATCAATCCATCATACAATTCAATTACAACTATCCTCTTCAAAATAATTACATCCCCAAGGAATTAGCTACCAAAGAGATGATCAAAGCCATTACTCATAAACAACATGAAATTACCATTACAATGATCATGCACTAAGTCCTCCAAAATACATCATATGGCCTCAAAACAAATACATATACATATGATGATGCAATTGGCCTACACATATAACAATTCTAAATGGCATGCAACTCAAAATGTCCAGCTATCAGGTATAATCTACTCATGCTTCTTGCCTCGTTCAACCTCACCTTTATCGTTCAACCTCACCTTCTTGCCTCGTATAACAACATGGGGTGAGATATACGAATATATCACAGTAGATTAGGGGTCCTTGGAGATCACTCCACCCTAAGGTTCACTTTCAGTGTACACATAATAATAACAGCTTAACACATTCTTATCCATAAACATCACATGAACTTCCAAGAGAGATCATCAAAGGGCTGTTTCTCTTAAGTGCTTACCACAAAGGAGATATGCATAGGGCTGTTTCCAAGGGAAGTCCACAATCTCACACTAGGGGCTTCCAAGAGAGACCCTCAAGGGCTATTTCTCTTATGCTCTTACCACATGGAGATCCACATAGAGCTGTTTCCAAGGGAAGTCCCTACCAATCATCCTCATCATAATACTAGGCACTTCCAAGATAGATCCACAATAAGGTTATCTCTCTTAGGCTCTCACCACAAGGAGATCTGCATATGGTTGTTTCCAAGGGTAAGACAAACCACCTGAAGATCCTCATAGGGCTGTTTCCAGGGGAGGTCCTTACTGGCATGATGGCTTTAAGAGGGATCCTCAAGCACTGTTCCTCTCAGGTAATAACCACAACGAGTTCCCCTTAGGGCTAGCTCCAAGGAAGACCACACATCCATCATACTAGTTACATACATTCGACTGATCCAAGGACTATTCAATCCTTTCTCATTTATCAGTTACTACCTGATCTCTCAACTATCAACATAACCTCAATCTGAATCCTCAACCAATACCTCCTTTATTATTTTTACCTCTATCAACCATTCATCAACTACTCTTAAACAATCAAACATCAATCAATGATCATTAAGAAATCATAACATTTATCAATGCATGAGTATACAATTACTATCATCATTATATATCACACCTCATAAATTATTCCTCCTCAACGGAGTATGGTGGAACATTCAAGGGGATCAACCCCAAAGTCCGAAGGTTAACCTTACACTTGAACTTTCCTCAAAGCTTTCCTTTCCTCAATTGAACGCAACCACAAGAATTAGTCACTCCACTTGGTCCACTTGTCTCAATCCTATCCATACAAGGGACATCATCAAACATACAACCAACCAAGGCTAACAATGCAAGAAAATCCTCAATTTCAAGCATAGATTTCTCTAAATATCAAAGTATACTAAAATGACAATTTAAACTCATTTCTACCGTTTATTTATCATTCTTAACAACATTTCCAAAGGAATTTAGCCTCAATCTTACTCAAACTCATAAAACTCACAAAAAACACTATTCATTATCTTCAACCTCAAGAAAACTCCATGAAAACTAGGTTGGAGAAGTGGAAACTTACCACAATAGGTCACAACCAAGGAATAGTGGTCCCCTAAGCACTCATGGATGAAAATGCCCCCAAACTTCTTCAATCTTCAAAGAGGTCGAAATATTTGAGAGGGAATATTTCTCTCTACAAAGCCTTCCAGTCAAAACCATGCTTGGATTCACAATGAGGGAAAGAGTCTAAGTGGTTTTGGCATTGGAATGAGTTGATTTGGTTGGGAAATAAAGAAGTTAGGGTTTGAGGCTCAAAAATGGTTTCTCCCCCTCTTTTCTCTCTGTCGCTTGTGAAATGCATGAGGGGGGGGATTGTTTGTTTTTTACAACTTAACTTAAGTTGAATAATTTCAATCGGGTAAAATCTTATCTATCTATTCACCTCCATTCACTACCAAACTTACCCGATGGACTATAATATTTTTTCAATCATATTTCTAACTTTACTTTTACCTTTTGAATAATTTTGTTTACACCCATTTTTATCCCATAATTTTCACTGACTACACTTTTTATCTCAAAACTACCCTTAACTCATTAATTTTAGCCTCTTACTTAATTCCACCCATTTATACATGCTAAATTACTTAATTACAGGTAATTAATTAAATTCTTAAATTAGGGATTTTATAATCAACATATTTTATTGGCCGAGAGATGTTGATTTAAAATTGATTTGATAATAATAAAAATGATAATAAGAGATTATTTATTTAGATAACGGAACTCTTGAGCATATTGCACAAGGGATTTCATACTCGTTTAAATTTTCAATGTGGAATCCCATCCACTCCTTTATCAACTAGAGATTTCTTCACCAAATGATGGTAGCCCAGTTGGCATTAGGAAACTAAGCAGGTGGAAGTAAGAGCATGTGTTTGATTCTCTTTTGTACCTTCTTTGGGTGGGGTTTAAAGTCTTAATCTTGGGACCACCCAAATCAGACTAATTGCGAAATGATGAACTGATTGAAATATCTGAAAATTAAAACTAGAGATTTCTTTTAAATTTTTTTAATGAAAAAGAACGGTGACAGTTGAAGAATAGTCACTTTGGGCTCTTCAGTTACACAAATGAAGAATCACTCTCAAAACCATGGTATGTTTTTTTTGGTAAACAAAACCAGGGTATTTTCTTTCATAAGCTTAGTGCATGTATCTAGACAAAATATGGTGATTATAAGATGGGTAAACTTTTTCTTACGCCGCAGGAAAGTACATTTTTTTTCCTGCACTAAGATAGTAATCGTGCATCACATTTTTTTTTTTTATAAAATGACAAGGCCCATTGTTTCTTTGTGCCAGCAGAAGCTTGGAGAGCACTTTTTCTACAACAGTTTTACAAACAACTTCCATTTAAAAATGTACATATGGATTTTTTTGTTTTTTTCTTCCTATTTCATACATTATTTGTTACAGAAAATGGAGCATTTTTATTGGATCGTCGCACCCAATCAATAGCGCGATAATAGTATTCAAAATATTTCGGGAAGTTTGACAATTTTCCTGTAAAAGGAAAAAAGCAAATCCCTTATAAGATATAGACCCAAAGTTTTTATTTGTCTTATTGTTTTCTTGTATTCTTTCCTTAAAATGTCTTTGTGTGGCTGGTTTATATAGAGAAAGATTACAGTTTAAACATTTGCATCTTATTGGTAGTACAAATAAGACATATTCTTCAACATTCCTTGCCCTTTTGAGCAAAAGATAGAACTCCAAATTACAAATGAGTATTGAAGCCTCTTCGATCCTAACTCAATTTGGTGTTAAAAAGGCAAGACTAACAAATTGACAATCCTCTATGTTATAATTCCTTCTAACATGCAAAAACATCTAAAAGAAACGGAAAGAGATCATAAGTGTGAATTTTGTACTTGTTGATTTATGTTGCGTGAACTTGAGTAATTTAAGTTATATTTAAGTGTTAAATTAAGTTTGAAAAAAAGAATTTAATGCCTTGCATATGGGTGAATTGATGTTTTGGACCTTGGTGAATAGTGAGAAAAGCCCAATAGTTATAATTATATATTACTCGTAATACATAGTTATAACTGAAAAGGATCCAACCTTGTGTCCTTTAAAAGTATGAAACTTTTTCCCTTAAAATTAAAAGTTTTGTCCAATATATATATCACATAAAAGCATAACTTACACGAATAAAGTACCTATTAAAATATAAAACCATTATTACAAAAGCAAATAATAAAGCAAACGCTACTGCAAAAGTGCAATTATTCATCTCACGCCTTTTATATATTTTAAGAGAAATAGGGGGTTATAAACATGTTTGGTAGCTTAATGCTCCAGTCCTCATTAACTAAATAAGAAAAGGCAAATTGCAATACACAAAGATTGATACTTTACGAGTGTAAGGGTTAGTTACCCTTACATTTTAGCAATGAGACTCTTTTTCATACTTGAACCAGTGACCTTTTGATCAAAAAGAAACAATATATGTTATCGGGACATTAAATATTGTCCTAGTATGTGAACGACACTATGGGTAAATTTATAAATATATCAAGAGGGGAAAATTCCCTCATAATTGAGAATTTAAATTTTAAAATCTTTTGTTTCATAAATAACAAAAGAACTACACTGAATTGATAACAATAGATCTATCTTATCAATTGTTCACCTCCATATAACTTAGTTATTGCTTTGATGGTATTTCTTGAAGCTACATCGTATGGAATGCTTGAAAGCAGGAAACAATCCAATGCAATGATAACTTTAGTAGGTGTATGTGTTATTAAAGAAAATAGAGAGAAAGAAAGATTGGAAAAGAGAGAGAGAATTGCTCTCCATAATGCTCTGTATATTTCATATCTAATCAAAGTACAATATGACAAGTATTTATATTATTCAGATGTGACTGTTATATCAAGAAGCGGGAAAATAACTAACAAGGGAAAATAACTAACACAGAACCACAATTCAGTTAAGCTGGTAAAACTGATATGGTAATACCCTCCCCTCAAGTTGGAAGGTGGATGTCAAGTAACCCCAACTTGTTAATAAGAGTATTAAATTGTGAAGGCTGCAAAACTTTAGTAAAGGTGTCTGCAAGTTGATGCCTGGTGGAGATAGGAAGGAGATGAATAAGACCAGCTTGAATCTTTTCTCTAGTAACATGACAGTCTAACTCTATACGTTTACTTCACTCATGAAAAGTGAGGTTATGAGCTAGATATATAGCCGCCTGAGATCACAGAAGACAGAAGCAGGTTGAGAAATAGAAATGTGGAGATCGTGAAGTATAAACTGAAGCCATTGAAGCTCACTAGTAAGTTGTACAAGTGCCCGATATTCTACTTTTGAAGAGGATCTAGAAACCGTGGTTTGCTTCTTTGATTTCCAAGATATTAGAGATGATCCTAGAAATATACAAAAACCAGAGATGGACCTCCTGGTGTCAGGGAAAGATGCCCAATCTGAATATGCAAAAGCAGATATGTGAAACTCATTGGTGGCAGGGAAAAATAAACCTTTTGATGGAGACCCTTTTATATAGCGAAGAACATAACAAGCACCATTGTAATGAGTGTCCATAGGCTTAGAAACATATTGACTGAGTTGTTGAATGGCATGAGAGATATCTGGACGTGTGGTGGTAAGGTATAACAGTCTTCCAATGAGCCTGCGATACTCTGGAACATCATGATAAGGTGAGCCTTGATGTTTTTGAAGTTTGTGAGCTGGATCTAAAGGAGTTGAAGCAAATCTGGCAGCTAAGAAACATATATCAGATAATAACTCCAGTGCATATTTTCTTTGATTGATAATCATCCCACGTTTGGATCGAGCAATATCTAAACCAAGGAAAATTTTAAAGGACCCAGATCTTTGATACTGAACTGTTGATGAAGAAAAGATTTAACCATGGAAATTTCAGCTTGATCATTTCCAGTTAAAATAATGTCATCCACATAAACAAGTAAGGTAGTGAATGAGTTTTCTTTATGTTTAACAAATAATGAGTAGTCAACTAATGATTGAGTGTAACCCAAAGCAAGTAGTGCAACTGTAAGTTTAGCATTCCACTGCCTCCTAGCTTATTTTAAACCATATAAAGATTTCTGCAATTTATATACTTAAGATGGAGAGGAAGCATGAAGGCCTGGAGGGACCACCATATAAACTTCTTCATTCAAGTCACCACGAAGAAAAGCATTGTTTATATCTAGTTGTTCAATAAACCAGTTTCGGGCAGTAGCAATTGCAAGCAGAGTTCTCACTATTGTAAGTTTAACAACAGGTGAAAAGGTGTCTAAACAGTCAATACCTTCCAATTGAGTGAAGCTTTTAGCCACCACACGAGCTTTGCAGCCAATGAGTTGTTTGTTAGGTGGTAAATCAACAAGAATCCATGTTTTGTTCCTCTCTAGAGTCTATATTTCATCCTTCATTGCTTGTTGCCAATGTGGATTAAATACAACTTGTTTGTATGTATGTGGTTCAGAATGAGATGAGATGTTATGACAGAAGGAAGTATAAGAGGGAGAACAATGATCATAAGATAAGACTGAAGTTAAAGGATAAGAGGGTAAAAGAGTACTTGAGGATGCAGTGGTTGCAGCATGTGCAGTGGGTAAGTTACAATGAAAATCATTAAGATATTTTGGTAAATTCCTTGTTCTTGTTGATATCCTTGAAGTGGTCTGAGTTTGAAGATTACTGTTTGTAGTAGAAGGATGATGAATGTCTATATCAGATGTTGAATTTTAAGGTTGGGATAAGGTTGGTTGTGTTGAATTGGGTAATGGATCATCATATATGGGTGTATTTTGGTGAGATGAAGTGGTGAAATGTAAAGGATTTCGCTTATCTAATTTGGCAAATGGAAAAATAGACTCATTAAAAATAACATTTTTAGAAACAAATGTGTTATTAGTTGAAAGATCGTATAGAAGGCAGCCTTTAGTTCCAACTTTATATCCAAGAAAAATAGCTTTTCTGGTTCGATGATCAAATTTTGTGCGACCAACAAAGAGAGTAGAGGCATAGCATAGACATCCAAAGACTCTAAGGTGAATTAATAAAAGGAGGTTCATTATGTAATAGTTCATATAGGATTTTGTTTTTGAGATTAGGAGTAGGTAATCCATTTATGATGTGTATTGCATGAGTGATGCAGTAGTTCAAGAAGGCTTTTGGGATTTTTGATTGAAAGAGAAGGGATCTGGCTACATTCAAAATGTGTTGATGTTTTCTTTCAACAACACCATTCTGTTGTGGAGACTCTACACATGTGGTTTGATGTATAATGCCTTTAGAATTGAAGAATTTTGACATTAAAAATTCAGGTCCATTGTCATTGCGAATGGTTTTTATGGTAGTCCGGAATTGGTTCTCAATAAGTTTTATGAAACTCTGGAGATGATCATGTGTTTCTGATTTAGTTTTCATTAGGATAACCCAACAGAACCGAGAATAGTCATCAATTAAAGTTAGAAAGTATTGATGACCAAAAGTGGAAGGTATACTATAGGGTCTCCAAATGTCAGCATGAACTAAATCAAAAGCATGGGAAGATAAAGAAGAACTAGAAGTAAAAGGTAATTTTCTTTGTTTAGCAAAGTGACATGTATCATAAGGAATGATAGTATTATTGCTGATAAAAGGAGATTTTGTACATATGGTCTGCATTATAGATTGGGAGTAGTGACCAAGTCTAAAATGCCATAAGGATTGACTAGTTACATTCTTCATAGTATTGCAGTGGCTGATGTCTGTAGAGTCTTGCCTTCGAGGAAATTGCTCGATCCAAACGTGGGATGATTATCAATCAAAGAAAATATGCACTGGAGTTATTATCTGATACAGGTTTCTTAGCTGCCAAATCTGCTTCAACTCCTTTAGATCTAGCTCATAAGCTTCAAAAATATCAAGGCTCACCTTATCATGATGTTCCAGAGTATCGCAGGCTCATTGGAAGACTGTTATACCTTACCACCACACGTCCCGATATCTCTCATGCCATTCAACAACTCAGTCAATATGTTTCTAATCCTATGGACACTCATTACAATGTTGCTTGTCATGTTCTTCCCTATATAAAAAGGTCTCCATCAAAAGGTTTATTTTCCCCCGTCACCAATGAGTTTCACATATCTGCTTTTGCAGATTCAGATTTGGGCATCTTGCCCTGACTCCAGGAGTAGGGGTGCGCAAAAAATCTGGTTGGTTCACTTGCCCTGCCATTGACCTGACCCTGACCTGACCCATAAATACCTGTTTTTATTGAACTGGGTTTAAAAACTGACCCACTTTTATTTGGGTTAGTTATAAACCTGACTTGTTTTAATAATGACCTATTGACCCAAAACTTGACCTACACCCATTATGTGAAAAAAAAAGAAAAAAAAAATCACAATTACATTAAAAGAAACGTTTTAATGTAAAACAATTACGTCATAATTTTTTAAGGAAAATATTTCCATCACAATTTTTCGCAAAATTTTTTGACGAAAAAATTTTTCGTCAAAATTTGTGACTAAAAACATTTATGTAAAAAAATTTGACGGAAAATTTTTTTTGTCAAATTTTTTACGGAATCTAAATTTCGTCAAAATATTTCACAAAAAAACATATTCATCAAAAATTTCGACGAAATACATTTCCATCGAAATTTTTTGACGGAAAAAATTTAATCAAAATTCTTTACAGAATTCAAATTTTGGCGAAAGTTTTTGACGAAAACATTTTCGTTAAACTTTTTGACAAAAAAAAAATTCGTCGAAATTTTTAGCGAAACACATGAAAATTTTCGACTAAACGGAACACATCTCTGTCAAAAATTTTCGTAAAATTTTTTGACAAAAAATATTTCGAAATTTTTTTTTGACGGAAAATATATTTTTTCAAAATTCTTTAGAGACTCTAAATTTCATCGAAAGTTTCCCTCAACAATTTCCGTCGAAATTTTTGTCAGAACACATTCCCATTGAAATTTTGAACGAAAAACATTTTTGACGGAATTCTTTTTTGTTTAAAACATTTGACGGAGGAAATCATTTTCATCAAAACTTTTGACGAAAACTAAATTTCGATAGAAAATTTATTTTTGTAAAAATTTTCAATAGAGAAAAAATTTCGTCGCTTTTCGACAAAATGTATTCGATGAAAAAATAATTTTTTGACGAAATTTTTGTCGTTTGCAACGTAGAAATTTCGACGAAATTTTGTGACGAAACCAAGTCAAAAACGGGTCAGGTCATATTTGATCCACATCAGAAACCAAGGCAGGTCAGATCCGACACGGTTCTGAACTAGTTCGAAAAAATTCAAACCAAGTCAGACCTGACTTGGATCAAATTAAAGCGGGTCGGGTCAAAATACCTGACCTATAAGTCGGCACAAAAACCTGACCCGACCTAACCTATGCACACCCCTAACCAGGAGTTCCATCTCTAGTTTTTGTATATTTCAAGGATCATCTCTAATATCTTGGAAATCAAAGGAGCAAACCACGGTTTCTAGACCCTCTTCAGAAGCAGAATATCGGGCGCTTGCACAACTTACTTATGAGCTTCAATGGCTTCAGTTTATACTTCATGAACTCCACATTTCTATTTCTCAATCTGCTTCTGTCTTCTGTGATAATCAGGCGGCTATATATCTAGCTTATAACCCCACTTTTCATGAGCGAAGTAAACATATAGAGGTAGACTATCATGTTACTAGAGAAAAGATTCAAGCTGGTCTTATTCATCTCCTTCCTATCTCCACCAGGCATCAACTTGCAGACACCTTTACTAAAGTTTTGCAGCCTTCACAATTTAATACTCTTATTAACAAGTTGGGGTTACTTGACATCCACCTTCCAACTTGAGGGGAGGGTATTACCATATCAGTTTTACCAGCTTAACTGAATTGTAGTTCTGTGTTAGTTATTTTCCATTGTTAGTTATTTTCTCGCTTCTTGATATAACAGTCACATCTGTATAATATAAATACTTGTCATATTGTACTTTGATCAGATATGAAATATACAGAGCATTATGCAGAGCAATTCTCTCTCTCTTTTCCAATCTTTCTTTCTCTCTATTTTCTTTGATAACAGTATGTGTTTGTCTATGATATTTTGCTCATTTTCTTTTTTGGAACTTAGTTGTATGAATTGTTAACCTCTTTTTGTGTTTTTTTATTTATGTCTTATATAATTATAGGCTTTAATATTTCTACAGTGAATGTAGATAAGTTATCTACATTCGCTACCAAAACGACGTCGTTTTGGGTTGAAAAATTAAAAAATAATAATTAAAAAGACAATTATAACACTGAAATAAATTATAATTATAAAAATACCTTGATTTCTGCCTCAAAACGACGTCGTTTTGAACTCAATGTAGATAAGTTATCTACGTTAACGGTAGAAAAAGCGAACCTATAATTATATGACTCATATATTTTAAATATAAAGTTGTTCATTAAATTATGATTAGTGACTTCTGTAATATATATATATATATATATATATATATATATATATATAATTTTGTATTTTGATATTGAATAATAGAAATTTTACTTTTCGACTAATTTTTACCATTTACGTTCTACTATCCCCTTGTATTTCTCCATAAAAACTCAAATTTGACATGATTGAGCTGCTCCCATCCACCGGTTCCTATGGGTTTATGGAATTTTATCACGTGTACTCCATTTGAGATTGAAAAGAGTGCTAGTACAGAGTACACGTAGATATTTTTGTTTTTTTGTCGGAATTTGACTTTTGATAAATATGACTTTTTAGCCTTATTTCATTGTTTTGGTGGCTTTGTCTGCGTTACCCCAAGAAACGATAATATAGTTGAGTCCCAAGTATTGTTCAATAATCCTAATTCTCCAAAATCATCCTCCTAATAATACGATAAAATAACTCATCCCTAGAAGCATTGTGTGCGTTTTCTGTCAAAATAAGAACTATTAAAGCCTGATTAAGATCACTAAATAATGTTGCCATTTGCATTTCAATTGGAGAAATTCACTGCAAACACACACACAGCGAATTTTTATTAAGTACAAAGGTAAATAGTCTTGGGAACATTTGTAAAAACAACATTGATATGGTGCACAGTGGATAAATTTTCATTACTAAGTCCATGAATAATGAAAATTAACTCCAATGACAGCTCAAACACCACAGAAAGTGTGCAGAGGAGTCTGATCTCTCATGCCTTTTTCAGTGGAAGTATAATTGAAGAAGTCAATAGGATCAAAAGGCTTGAAGAGCAGAGGGTGTTCTTCGTCAACCAGCTCCTCTGGGGCTTTTACAAGGTTCCCTCCTTTGGGAGCAGAGAACAGCCCTACGGAGTACCTTGCCTCATCCCCACTCATCACCACTCTGTGAAACGGCTGAGGCACCCTGCCGTTTGACCATGCCTGCAGAAGTCATATCACAACCTCATAAATGATAAATCTTCAACATCATTCAATAATTATAATTATAAAAGTTATAATAATGTTGAAATAAATTAAAATTACAAAAGTACCATAATTTTCGTCTCAAAACAACGTCGTATTAAACTTACTTCAGATAATTTATCCGCAGTCACTGCAGAAAAAGCGAACCCTTTTAACAATAGAATAATATTTCTGCAGTTACTACAGATAAATTATATGTATTTACTCTCAAAACGATATCGTTTTGGGATAGAAAAATTAAATAATTATAATTATAAAGACTATAATAATCCTGAAATAAATCAAAATTATAAAAGCACCATGATTTTCGTCCCAAAACAACGTTGTATTAGGCTTACTGCAGATAACTTATCTGCAGTAACTGCAGAAAAAACGAACCTTTTTAACAATTAGTATGTTCTATGGTTTTTTTAATAATGACAAGTGGTGAAAAGAATTTACATGGAGTGAGTCACCAATCACAATAACGAAACTGTTCGAGGAAGGCTTGCAGCTTATCCATTTTCCATCTTTGGTCATAACCTCTAAACCCTCCACTTCATTTTGGTACAATATGGTCATTATACTCTTGTCTGTGTGCTCGCTGAGTCCTACCTCTGTGTCATTGTTTTGAGGACTTTCGTACTTCATAACCCTGAGAACATAATTGGATGTGTTCACGTGTTCCTCGAAGTACTTCTCAACACCCAAGCTCTCCAAAATCATCTTCCTAATAATCTGATCTAACTCTGATAGCTGCTCAGAGTAGGATTGTATAGTTTTGCTGGAAAATCAAAAATCAAATAAAGTTAATTAGAGGCAAAGAGATATATAAGTTTTTTGGGAAATACATATGTCATATTGTAGGAAAATGCTTAGGTCATGTTATAGATACAATAAATATGGATCCCATCACTTTTAAAATAAAAAGAATAAAATAAAAAAATGATGGGATCCACATTAATTGTGTCTATAACATGACCTAAATATTTTTCTACAACATGACATATGTATTTCCCTAAGTTTATATCCCTGAGTTTATAAACTAAGGGAAATTTTAATGAGTACGTGCCTAAAACTTGGGTTTCCATTAGGCCACCAAGTGTTGGTCATGTTGTCTACTTTCTCATAGACATTTGCATCATCAATGCCCATGCTCTCAAAAAGTGGAACCATAGAATGTTGCCCAAAATAACCATGATATGGCTTCTGAGACACATTGAGTTGCTTGGTTTGTAGGGGGAGATCAAATAGCTCCTTTATAGCAGCAAACATGGCTTTGAGAAGGTCTAAAGGAACTTTATGATAAATTGCTTCAAAGCAACCATACTCTATTAGTGCATTGTGCACTTGGGATTTCACTGCCTCCCACTTTGGACCGTTGACTTCCAAGCTGAGGTTAGTAACGTCAATGACAGGAAGCTTTAAAGGGGTTTCTGAGCCCATAACTTCACTTTTCCTTCTCTAATTTGATTCCAAGATGCGAGGAGAATGCTTAATTTAAGCTCGGTTTGAATTTATGAGTGCTCTTGATCAGTTTTGGTGATCAAGTTATATAATGGTATGCTCTGAATTGTTATTTGACATTGATAATATTAAAAGGTTTATTTTATTAGGACTAAAGTATATGTCCTAGAGACCAATAATTGATCTATAGCTGTTAACACTTGTCACTCCCTCATTATAAAGTATGGTTTACTCTAAACAATTTTTATATTTTTTATTTTAAAAGAAGTGAAAGTTGATAAACATACTGTGTCGATCAATATGCTAATAATGATAAAAGATTTCGCCAAAATTCATATTTTAGTTGTTAATTTGATGTTGATCCGTTATTATCTAGTTGAATAATAATAAAAGAAAATGAGTTACAAAAATAGCCAATTTTAGTAGGGAAATATTACTCTTACGTAGCAGAGAATTTTTCTCTCATGCATTCACAGCTTAGAAGAGAGAGGAGAGAGAAAAAATAAAGAGCGAGCCCCCACCTTTGATTTGTGAGTGCATGAAAGAAAAATTCTCTCATGTCACATAAGAGTAATATTTCTCATTTTAATATCTAGAACAAAAGTACTCTAATGTTGAAAAAGTACGATGAATTTTGTAATAAAAAATAAAATCTGTCGTATTTGAATCATTGTTTTTTTTCCCTCGTGACCTATTCAATCATTACTCCAGAATTAGATTTCACATATTAATATTATGTCTCATGAACATCGGTATATGCTGGAAGAAAAATCATGAAATGACTATATACGTATCTTTCTTATATTATGGGGGATGCATGGAACTTGGGAACATGCATGGCTTGGCTCCCTTAAACAACATACAATGCAAAGCACTTTTCCTGCTCTCCAAATTAGCTTTCTTCTCTCTCATTTTCAATAATAACAAATGCATGGAACTTGGGAACATGCATGGCTTGGCTCCCTTAAACAACATATACAATGCAAACCACTTTTCCTGCTCTCCAAATTAGCTTTCTTCTCTCTCATTTTCAATAATAACAAATGCATGGAACTTGGGAACATGCATGGCTTGGCTCCCTTAAACAACATACAATGCAAAGCACTTTTCCTGCTCTCCAATTAGCAACATGCAGCAGCTACCTTCGAAAACAATTGAAGTATATTAAAATTTTCTAGTACAGATACCAATCATATATATAACTATATGTGTATGCCCTTGTCATATTTCAAAAGTACCCCATGCCGCTCGAGCACAAAACAAAAACGAAAATAATAATAATAATAGAAAAAAAGTGTGTATCATTTTAAAGATATAAAGTTATGTCATTTTAAGTGAGAAAAAAAGATAGATCATAGAAGAGAGTGAGAGGAAAATGTTTTAAAAGTGTGAGTCTTACCTTTTTGTGAGAGTGAAACGACACAAGGTGTGTCATTTAAAACGAGACACATTTTTCCCATAATAATAATAATGTATTTATTTCACAAGTGGGAAAATTCGCTTCTCCGTAACTCTACAGGGAAATCAGAAGCCAAATTTGGTGCTTTAAAAGATTATCCAGATACAATTCATTATAACCAAGCGAGTTTAAACCACCATTAGGGCTATCATTATCAAATCAAACTCTCATCGATTTGATGGCTAAAAAAAAACCATTAAAGCGATAAATCCATCCATCCATCCATATTTTTTCTGAAGTTTCAACTTTCCATCCTAAAGATAGGACCGGACTTGTTTCCTCTCCACACTCAAAGGTAAGGAAAGCTTTATGTGCTGTACAGTACTGCTGTTCTTCAGATGCCACACCCAAATTGTTTTTCACCTTTTTAATAAATAATGATATAATACTATAGTCTATACTCTTTAATTTTGAGAGAAAAGAGAAGGTCGTTGCCTCCCAAAACCTCCGCAAAGTATTTCTTCCATTCAAGCTTATTTTGTTGATTTAAAAGTAAAATAAAAAATTTGCCCCTTCTAATTAATATACTATAAACTTTAGCACTTCCTTCCATTTGACATGTACCTTTGTAGGCCCAAGCCTTTCAAGCATTAAAACCTACGCACCTTCATTCTCTTCCTCCCATACACAAACCCTCTACCGCAAGAAAACAGGTATTTTGAAGTTGTTTAACTATGGCGATTTCCCTTAAACCCCCATCTACCATGCAAAGGTGGTTACTGCAAAATCGCCTTTAATTACTACCTTTAGAAGCAATTAAACGTCAATCACCTCCAAATGTGTACTAAAGGCTATTAAAATAACTGCTCTCATTTATCATTCAGAGGCGGTTAAACCATAAACACCTCCAAATATATATTAGATACGGTTAAAATAACCGTCCACATTGACCATTAATCGGCTGTTGAGGTATAATCGCCGTTAAATGTAGCAATTAGAGGCGATTTTACTGTAACCGCCTCTGAATGATAAATGGGACAATTATTTTAACCGACTCGAATAGACATTTGGAGGAGATTTCATGTCAACCGCCTCAAAATATACATTAAAGGTGGTTAAAATAACCGTCTCTAAAGCATATTTAGAGACGGTTCATGGTCTATCAAACAGTGAGATTCAAAGAGGGAGATCTTTTTGTTCAGCCGTTAGATCGTCCTCAAATTTGATTAGTGTGTTCTTTTCTTGTAATACTTTAGTGTAACCGTTCAGATTTTTAAGTTGAATCACCTGGCTTTATATATAAATTTTCAATGATGACTGTTGCACATTGAAAAAAACCATCTCACCTTCACTTTGAAGCCCCATATTGGATGGCCCTTGTTCCTCCTTCTCCATCCCCTTATATATAACAACCCACACTAACACACACATACAAAATTCAATGAGCTATTTATATTCAACTAATAAAAATTACATTAACTTTTAAAAATAATTTTTTCTTAAAAATTATATTAACTAATCACTTTCGAAAATTATATTAAAAATAAAAATTTAAAAATAAAATTATATTACCTTTTAAAAATAACAATTTTAATATTAAAAATTAAAAATTTATATAATTTTTGTTGGAAATCGACAATCACACACAATGCGAACGAAAAAAAGAGAAAGAGAGAGAGAATAGACACAATGATTTACTCTGGTTCACCCAATTTAGGCTTCATCCAGCTTGTCTATATTATATTCACCTCACCGTCACTCATTACAAGTCACTCCGTTTACAAGGAGAATATAAATAGGATTAAAACCCTAACAACAGCTATTCATGGGCTCAAGCTCAAACTACTAAGAAAATAAAAAAATACAATAAATCAGAGGCCCACAACAGACCTAGCCATACCCAACAATTTTAACTATTTGGAGGCGATTACACGTTATTTGGAGGTAGTTAAAATAACTGCCTCAGATTGCCTTTTGGAGGCGGTTAAAATAACTGTCTCAGATTGTCATGTAGAGGCGGTTAATCTAGCGGTTTGTGAAAATAACCATATTTTGCCTTGTGATGGTGGTAAACGAGGCGGTTCGTGAACCACCGAGCCAAGCATTTAGAGGCGGTTTGAACCGCCTTAAAATGCAAATATAACCGCTTCTGAAAACCAATTTTCTTATAGTGTTATTCTCTTAAACAACTTCAAACGCAGCACACGATCACTAAGCCAAAGCCAGGTTAAGCAGATTAAAATTGAGAGAAAAGATTATTTTAGCCACCCCCCAGCCCCATAATCATTGGAAGTTTTCGAACACGAAGATCAAAGATTGATTCGGGGATCTAGGACAATTTAGTAAAAGGGGAAATGATTTGTCCTTTTAAAGGATATAACTCATGTCCTTTTAGCAATTTATAATTATGTACTAAGGTAGTACATAGTTATAATATTAAAGTTGTATTTTTTTCTCTATCTTCAGACACTGTTTGCTAACGTGGAAAGTGAAAAAAGTACAACTTTAATATTATAAATATGTATTACCCTTAGTACATAGTTATAAATGGCTAAAATGACATAAGTTACATCCTTTAAAAGGACAAACTTTTAAGCCTAAAATGCAACAAAATTATTTCAAAAAGAAAAAGAAAAAAAAACCTTAGTAAAAAACATAAAAATTAAATTAAAGAAAATGAAGAATAAATTTTACACTCAATCTTAATCGTTGATTTCCATAAATCAAAAGGTTAAGTTGATTGGGTTATTTTCATTAATTAATTATTAATCCCCTATATTTAATTAATTAGTAATTACAAATAAATTATAACCGCCAAATTGGCAGAAATCAATGGTTAGGATTTGGTGTCAAAGGATCCTATCCCTATATATATATATATATATATATATATATATAGGTAAAATCATTTCTCCAGTCGTTTGACATCCAGCAATGAACAGGTGTATGGTTATAATTACCCACATCATTGACATCATTGCTTGATGTCAAACGACTGGAGAAATGTATATATCAGGATATTCTGACACCGATAAGAATAAGAAGTTTTATGTCAAATCTTGGTCACTCATTTGCTTGTATCCAATGACTCACATAACCAATAAGTTAGAGTCGTTAGATATAAATAGGATCAATGACCAAGATTGAGAGTGTAACTTACTGGTATAAAATGATCCTAACCTTATATATATATATATATATATATATATATATATATACATACATACATTTATATATATGATAAAGCAGGGACACTCAATCTTAGCCATTATTTTCGTCTATCAAACGACCGTAATTGATTGGTTTTTTCATTAATTAATTATTAATTTCTAATTAATTATAATCGTCTTATGTACAAGAATCGATGATTAAAATTGGATGTAAGGCTTATTATTCTTACACCAGTATAAGAAGATCATGTCTCGAAAAGAAAATGTGATAATAATTAATGTGGCTTATGATTAGAAAAATATAAGGTTTTATAAGCTCATTTATATTCTCTTGTAATTGAATACTGGTAACAAGTATGATAAGAAAAAAATAATAAAATAATTTATGGACTAAGTTTTATCTTGAAGTG